GGCTGACAAGGTTGATGACTCATGAAACCAGCTAGCGCAGTGACTGTTCTGTAATCTTGACAAATACTGGGTCATTGGCGTATACTTGGGATCATGCCAGTTAGACCTGAAATGGAAGATTCACAGGGTCAGAGTGATAGTACAGCAGGTAGGGCACTTGCCTTGCACACTGCTGACCCAGGTTCGACCCCCTGAACACTGCCATCGTGTCCCCCGAACACCGCCAGGTGTGGCCCCAAAGGAAAACAAACAAAATTCACAGCCTTGGGAAGGAATGGTTTACTCTCTCAAGTGATTTATAAAGGAAGTCTAAGATGTGATAGGAATTTAGAGATTTGATTTTTCAATTAATTTTTTAAAAATTTTTTTAAAATCACGGTCATTAATGGGAACAATGACTGTGCAGTGATTAATTAATGCAGCTCTGCATAGACATCAGCCAGTATGTAGCTCCACACCCAGCAGTACTTACTCAGGGGTTACTCCTGGCATTGCCCAGGGGCCACATGGGTAGCAGGTGATTAATCCCAGGTTGGCTGCATGCAAGGCAGCACCCTACCTACTGTACTCTCTTCTAGCCCCTCTCTTCGCTTTTTGACCCCCTTGCTTTTTGTCTCTAGTTCAGTATCCCCCTGTTCTCCCAGCCAGAGTAGAACCTGTTTTTCTAACACCAGCCAGACTCCTTAGGAGTGAGGAGAAGGGCTTTTGGATTCCGACCTCTCCCTGAGGAAGAACTGGCTAGTGACTTTCTTAGGAACTCAGAATGGATATTGTCACCCTGAATGATGGTGAGTCGGAGGGGCTCACTGCAGCCCAGGACCCTCTCTCCCAGAAGCACTGAGCAGGGAAAGCTTCTCTCTACCTCTGGCAGAGAGCTGCCTTTCTGTGGAAATGAGCTGAGAGGGGTGGTTTGCTACACAAGACAAGGACCCTGTCCCCTGAGGAGGGAATGCCAGGCCTGGACAGCCAGTCTTTAGGCTGAGATTCTGTAGTCTATGGGTCTGAGAGATGTGGTTGGCAGCACTGCGCTGGACACATGTTGGGGCTGGTTGGTGCTGCCAGGGTCCCAGCTGGAGACCCCGAGTGTGGACAGGTCGAAGAGCCGGGCTTGTCCTGCTTTTACTTAGTGGGCTATACTTGTGTGTGCTGCTTTCTTTCTCAGTTCCTGGACCTTTAGTGAAGAATTTCAATTTCTTCATCATCGTCATCATCATCATCATTTTTGGTTTTGGGCCATACCTGGTGGTGCTCAGGGCTTACACCTGATTCTGTACTCAGAGATTACCCCTGCTAGGAATTGGGGGGACCATATGTGGTGTTGGGGACTGAGCCCCGTTTGACCATGTTCAAGGGAAGCGCCCTCCCTGCCATGTTCTGTCTTTGGCCCCAAGTATAGATTTCTGTTAAGGAAAGTGTCTTCTTACTCCTTTCCAGTTCAGCTGAGATACACCTAATGGCAGAGGGTTTAAAACAGATGTGCTGTGTATGTTTTTCTTCCTGATTAGAAAAAGTAATCTCTATTTATTGTTGAAATAGTTACGATTAAGAGACACCTAATTTAGGAGTGAAATTTTGCTGCAATTTGTAGAGCTGTGCGGGCCTTATTATATGTCTCAGACTTTGTTCCTGCATTTTCTTTCTTCTTTCTTTGTTTCTTTCTGTTTCTGTTTCTTTGTTTCTCTCTCTCTCTCTCTCTCTCTCTCTCTCTCTCTCTCTCTCTTTCTCTATAAAATATGGAATGCTTCACGAATTTGTGTGTCATCCTTGTGCAGGGGCCATGCTAATCTTCTCTGTATCATTCCAATTTTAGTGTATGTGCCACCGAAGCCAGCACAGTCCCTTCATATTCTTTACTGTGATTTTTTTCTTTTATATTTTTGGAATGTAACTTGTCAGAGAGAGTAAGGGGTTAAGGGGCTTGCCTTGTATGCAGTGACCCTGGGTTTGATTCCTGGTACCGCATGGTACCCTGAGCACTACTGGGAGTGACCCCTGGGCGCGGAACCCAGGGAAAGCAAGCCCTGAGCACTGCTGGGTATGTCCTCCAAGCAACAAAACAACAACAGCAAGTAAGACTCCTTTAGCTGGGTAGTGTTCTCATAGAATTTCATGTGATGGTCTCTCTCGCTAGTGGGCCCAGAGCTCTTTTGCTCTTTTTTAAAGTAGCGATTCTTCCAGTGGCACAGAGGGGTGGGCAGACTTATCTTTTTGGGGGGGAAGGGCAGACTCTTTACATGCATTTTTGTTCTGTTTTGCATTTTTGAGTCACACCCAGTGATGCTCAGGGATTACTCCTGGCTCTGGACTCGGGAATTACTCCTGGTGGTGCTCCTGGGACCATATGGAGTGCTGGGGATTGAAGCTGGGTCGGGTGCATACAGAGCAAGGGTACTGTATCTCTCCAGCCTATTTTTTCTCTTTCTGCACTCAAGGAGACTGAGGATCTGGCAGGCTATCCAGCTGTCAGGGCCATCACAGTGCGTCTGCTGAGAACAGGGCCTACCTTCTCTTTACTGTGATCTTGCATCCAGAATTTTTTTGTACCCCCTGCAGCCTTTCTCAGTTGAGTGTTTTCGCCAAAGCTCTCTGAGGCGTATCAAGCTGTTGGGTGGGCACGCACTGCTCCTTGGCTTTTAGGATCTTAAGAGGCTTTTTGTTCGTTTTAGGCCGGGACTTGGCATCTGTGGCTGTTGCATCTGTGAAGGGATTTGAGCTTGCAGTCTCTTTTTGTAAATAAAGTTTTATGGGAATGTGGCCAAACCCATTCACTTACGTATCATTTCAGAGACCATATGGCTTGCAGAGGCTGCAGCATTCACCATCTGGCCCTTACAGGAAATGTTTGCTGACCCCTGCTGGAGCCACCAGTTTCTGTTTAGGTGTATTGTGTTGTAGTGTCTAAGGTCTAAGGTTTTCACATTCATTTTGTGGAGAATTGGAGGTGCTTTCTGACCCCTTGCCCCAAACTGATCAGCCAGAGCACTGTCTAGTGACTGATCTCACAGAGTCCTTTGCAGTGGTGTGAACTGTAAACAAAACAAAACATAACAAAACAACAAACACACTAAAGCTTTAGCTGCTGTTAACCTTTGTAAGCACTGCTCAACCCAGGTTGATATGCCCCAGAGTGCCGTCCATATCCTGCCCCATGAAGAAGAATCTGACAGAGTTGGTAGGAAAGTGCAGAGAGCGGTGGACTATCCCACCATCTACTTCTCTGCCTGGAGAGCGCTCTGAGGCTTGTCACAGGTACACCTTGAAGGAGAAGTGGGTGGCAAAACTTGGTGCCTTGACGTGGAGATTGGATGAGTCAGATGGGGTTCTCCCATTTTCAAAGCCAGATGCAGTGAACTGGGGTGATGCTTTGTATGCTGAAGTCTTGGATCTGATTCCTACTACCATGTGGCCCCTTGAGCACTGCTGCGAGAGACCCCTGAGCACCAAAGTGGAAGTAGCCCCTAGGACTGCTAGAGGTGGCCTCACACCAGGAAGAGCAATGGAGTCTTCTGTTGATAGACCCAAGAGCGGCTCAGTCACTCGCCAAGCTTCCTGCAGAGACTCCTCTAGTCCCAACAAGGCTGGGGACACATTCCCTCCAGATTCCCCTGGCACGTGAGGGTTGGCACAGGCAGGCCGCACATACGTTTCTAGTCATTTTCAGCCCTTTGTCCCAGGCAGGCCTGAACAGGACCACGAAGCTGATTATTGAAGGTCAGTGAGCAAGTAAGTCTAGCTTTTAATTAATTGGCTTTTTAATGCACTCAGGGGAGGGCTCTGAGCGCGTCAGCCTCTGTCCCCTCCGTGCTCGCTGCTTGGATTGGCTCCCACAGTTTGGAAATTCACTTCATGTCTCTCCTAAGAGAGGTGGTGCTAGATCCTGGTCTCAAGCTGGGTTTTCGGTGTGCGTTTTGGCGGGTGGTGTTAGCAAGGGAGGGGAGGCCACATGGGAACTGGTCCTGTACCTGAAGTCTGGGGCTGCATTGGGCTCTCAGAATCATAACAGGTGGGTTGGAGGGCTGATCAGTCCAGGGGCGTCAGCTGGGATCAGCCCATGGGCGCCCTTGGGCTGTCCCACCAGAGATGGTGGGCTGGAGCTTGGGTGGTCCCTGCCCCGCTCCCGGGCTGAATGACTACTTGATGTTCAGCCTGGCACAGCCTTCCTACCTGGCAGTTCTGAGGAGATGACTAGCCGAGGGGCCTGGTTTGGGATCTGCCAGGTCACATGTGTGCATCACTGACCCCCGCTGCTGCTGAGGTGGATGAGGGTCTGGCAGTGTGGTGGGAACTTGATCTGTCCTTTGCCTGTATAAGTGGCATGTACTGTTTTTCAGATGGTTGGCTAGTGCTTTAATCTAGTTACCTATTCTGAGTGAAAAAAAGCTTTCTTAGTTCAAGTTATATTGCAAAGCCTCGTGTCTGCTGCTGGGACTCCAGGAAGAGCGGACTGGCCTGGATCTGTACTCTGGTCTTGTCCCCTGGATGAGGTCCTGGACAGACCGTCAGATCAGAGCTGGGAACCTGTTCTCCTTTGTGCTCTGAACCTGTTTTCGTGTGAATCCGTTTCGTAGTTAAAAGGAGCCAAAGGAACTCAGATTTGATTTGGAGAAGTAACAGCCCTTGGTAACAAGGAGCTGGCTCCTCCTTGCTAGGATGAGTGCCCTGGGGTGTTCACAGCCCTGCCACCCTCCCCTTGGCTCCTGTGGCCTAGGGGCGGGGTACCGTGAGGCCTGACTGAGCATGAGCTGCGTGCACTGTGGTCACGCTTCAAACGGATGTGGGCTGTCGAAACTTCTGACTAGGAGAGTTTTCCGATGCTTGCAAAGATTGAATTTGGACTCCGAGGGAGTCCATCATCCTTGACCTTCCTACCTTCCTTGCTGGGTGAAGCCTCCCTGGGCTTCTGGTTGTACTCATGTTGCCATATTGGCATCTTGGTGCTATTGATGTTTGGCATCAGTGTGAAGCTTGATTCTCATTTTCTTCTTCCATTTCTCTTTCAGTATCCTGGGTCATGAAACTTAATCCACAACAAGCTCCATTATATGTGAGTAAATCTTGAATTTTCTTTTTATTCTGTAACTGATGTTTGCCCTGTGTAATAAGTGTACACCCATGCCAAGGTGAGTATAGAAGTTTTTTTTCTTTTTGCTTTTTTCTTTTTCTTTTTTTTTTGCCTTCCCAAGTCCATACAGGAACCTCAGGGATTACACCCCATAATTATTAAGGTAAAGGTAAAGGCCCTCCCGTTGATCATCGATTTGCTCGAGCGGGCCCAGTAACGTCTCCATTGGAGACTTTGTTGTTACTGTGTCTGGCATATCGAATACTCTCGGTAGCTTGCCGGGCTCTCCGAGAGGGGCGGAGGAATCGAACTCGGGTCGGCCATGTTGGCTGCGTGCAAGGCAGACGCCCTACCACTGTGCTATCGCTCCATTATTAAAGGTAAAGGTAAAGGCCCTCCCGTTGATCGTCGATTTGCTCGAGCGGGCCCAGTAACGTCTCCATTGGAGACTTTGTTGTTACTGTGTCTGGCATATCGAATACTCTCGGTAGCTTGCCGGGCTCTCTGTTATTATTTAAAAAAAATTTTTTTTTATTGAATCAACATGAGATGCAGTTACACAGCTTTCATGATTTTCAGTCATAAAATGATTGAACATCCATCCCTCACCAGTGTATATTTTGTACCACCAATGTCCCCGGTATCCCTCTCACCACCCCTACCTGACTCTATGGCAGATAATTTTCTTCTTACTCTCTCTGCTTTTGGGCATTAACAACCCATAATTCTTAACCAACCAGACCGGTGCTTCAGTGCAAGGTTCGGAGGATGTTGGGAGTTGGGGACCAGTTCTGGGGTCGGGTTATGCAGCATTAGGGATCAAACCAGGATCGTCTGTGCTATCTTCGAGGCCCCATCCCTGGACTTGCTGAGACCACTTGAGTATGAATTTATCATAGTTTACACGGATGTTCCTTTGGTCCAGTTACAGTCAGTGACCAGCTCCATGCCCTAACCACTCTGCGACCAGGTGGTGCCTGTGAAGCCCAGACGGACTTTCCCTGGGCCTGTTTTTCCTCTTCCCAGAGTCCTTGCGCTCAAGTCGTACTCCACAGGGACTTCCCCTGGCTTGTTGCTAGGTGGCGCTGTGTCACTGCCTGGAGTCTGGCTGTAGGGCTGTTGAGGGCTGGTGGCAGTTTCCCAATCAGGTGAGATGAAGGATGAATGAATGACTCAGGGTTGGAACAACCATGGCCCTGGTGACAGTTTCAAAGTGTCAGTGGGTTCACTGAGTTGGAGTAGTAAGAAGTGCCTTTGTGTGGGGGCTGGAGTGATGGTACAGTGGGCGGGGTGTTTCCCTTGGATGTCGTGGACCTGGGTTCTATCCAGCACATACTGTCCTCTGAGACCACCAGGAGTGATCCGGAAGCACTGTTGGGTGTGGCCCCAGACAAAACCAGAAAGATTTTGATACTGGTATTGTTTAATGCTGGCAAAAAAAGCAGTGAGGTGCCGGTGTTGAGATCCCGCAGAGCTGCAGTGTGTGGTCAGAGAGGGTGGGAGTCAAACCTCTAAAGGAGCAGCGAGTCGGTGGAGAGTCCGCAGGGTTTGTTTGAGACCCACAGGTGATGGAAGATGGACAGTGCTGGGTGCTGGATGCTGGATGACGGATGATGGATGCTGGCAGGAGGTGGTGATCCGAGGTGGAGACGGCGGGATTTGTGTTGGGGAGGGATGGAGAGAATCAGAATCTGAAAGATGGCTGAGCCTTGATCAGGAAAGATGCAAAATTGTGCTTTTAGAACTTTTTGTTATTATTGTTTTGGTGACCACAAAGTAGATTTTGATACTGGGATTGTTTGATGCTGGCAAAAAAACTGTTTTTAAAAAAACTTTTGTTTTACTCTGGGATTAATGTGATAAATATATATATATATTTATACATATTATATATGCGTGTGTATACATATATATATGCATATGCATATATAAAACATTGATTTTGGATGTTAAACCAGACTTCTGGTTTCTAGGGTAAATCCCGTTTGGTGTATTTTGAATAGGTGACTAAATTCAACTTAATAAGTATTTTGTTGAGGATTTTTGGGATCTCTATACAAGGGATATGTCTATAGTTTTTTTTCTCTTCCATGTGTTTGTTTTGACCCCTAGAGGTTTTTGATTGGGACCAAATGTCAAAATGGCTGTGGTAGGTGGAATGAGAGCGCCCAGCGTGGTGCACGTTTGACTTCCAGGGCCTGGAATGGGATGTCCAGGTTCTGCGCCGAGTCTGCCTGGGAATCCTGCAAGGGGGAAGTGGCACCTGGAGAGGTCCCTGGGAGTGGCCAGGACTGTGGACCTGCATGTGCCTTTCCTATGTGGCGAAGGTCAGAGAGAGACATTTGTGGGTGTTCTGGTTTTGAAGGTGGCCTGAGGCGTTGACAACAGCCAGGGAAGATAGTTTTTTCTTATGTTCTTAGGTGTGGCTCAGTCTTCTGAAGTGTCCTTTTGTTTTTGTTTCTGGCTCCAACCTGGCAGTGCTCTTGGGCTATTTCGACCCCGTGCTTGGACGTCACTTCTGTCGGTCCTCAGGGAACCAGGAGGTCGAGTACCAGGGATCGAGCCTGGGCTTCTTGCGTGTGCAGCCTGCTCTCAGTCTGCTGAGCTACATCTGTCTGCCCCCGCCTCAGATTTCTGACCTTCAGAATACGTTTGTGCAGTTTTAAAACTCGGAGCTGTAGCTGCACCAGGAGGTTAATAGTAGTTTGGGAAAATGAATTGTTGATGGTGTGGAGGATAATTTCGGAAGTGGCTAGGTCAGCAGCTCTCTCCTGGTGCCGGCCTGAAACTGAGATCTCCGCATTAACAGGGAGTGTAACTGTTAGCTCTCCACTTTAGACATGCGCTCCGGGAGAGGAGGTAAGGCAGCACAGCTCTCATGGTGAGAGTTGTCATCTGCACTGATATTTCTGGATTTAGTCATAAAAAGCCTTGCAGTACATGTCGAGTTTTCAAAATGCCTTGTTCTGCTAGGGAGGCAGGATTCCTTCGGAATCAGTTCTGAGGCGTATTCTTCCTAAGTCTGTGCTTTGCATGCTGTAGGATCTACTGATGGTGACTTTTAAACTTCAGGGGCTCAATCTGCAGATGCACAGGTGGGGCTGAACCCAGAAAGAGGGTCAAATCCATTTTCTTTCTTCTGTAACCCAGGCCGTCGCACCCTGCAAACCCCACAGTGGTTAATAGGATAGACTCGTACATCCCTGTACGTGTTCTTTGAAATAAATTCAGGTGTGCAGAACAGTTCCAGGCTGCCACTTCACCTCTGCTCATCACTCAGCGACGTGGAGACACACAGGTTGTCTCTGTTTTGCTCATAGTTTAAACATGGTCTGAAAGTCGCAGACATCACACCCTGTTTTCCCGCAGTATTTCAGCATGCATTTCCTAGGAACTGGAACATGCCTGTCCTAACCCCAGGATCACGGACAAAACGGGAGATATAACACTGATGGAATTCTCTCAGATCCTCCAGCATCTGGGATTCACTCCTTCCTCCCTTCCTTCCGGGCACCTTTCCCTCATCAGAGCCATCGGTGGCTCTCTCATCTCTTAGTCCCAGACTGCTTTTTGGCTTTGCCCCCAGCTTCAGGGTTTGCACATTTGGGAGAGTCGAGGCCAGGCTGTCAGGCTGTGGCAGGCAGGTCTGGGTGTCTCTTGGCGCTTGTCTTGCAATTGCAGGGGGCTCCATGCACAGGCGGTGCCCCTTGGTCTAGCGCAGGATCATCTCTGCTGGTAGTTGGGAGTTGTTGAGTGCGCCCCCTTGGGCTGGGCTCGTGGCATCGATCTCTGGCTTTTCCCCTTTCTCGCACTGTATGTGGTTCACAGGTACCTTGCACATTTTGGGTTTTGAAATGGGATGTCCAGGTTCTGCGCCGAGTCTGCCTGTGACTCCTGCTAGGGGGAAATGGCACCTGGTGACAGAGAGATCCCTGGGAGTGGCCAGTGCCAGTGGTTTGAGCAGGGAGGGCTTATCCCTCGGGGTACACTGGGTCGCTGACCAGAATAACTCTCAAGGAAGCTAGGACAGCCACCAGATTCAGTCCGGACCATAGCAGCACTCACTGAACATTTGTTGAGCATGAATGAAAGAACATTTAGATCGGAATACTGAATTCTCAGAAAGATTTGCCCCTTTGTCTGTGTTTTGGTGCTGGGGCAGAGTCCAAGGCCTCATCATGCAAGCATGAGCTGTCCCTCCGAGCTGCTTCCCTGGAGTCACATTTGCTTCTCTCTAGCGCCCCAGAGATGGGGGTGGGGGTGGGGGACTTTCTTCAAGCTGCTCCTTCAGTTCCCAAGTTTCCTGCTGAATTTCCTTTGTGTGGGTCCTGAAACTTAGTGACGCTGCCTTTGTGATTGAAGTGTTGCCAGTAGGAAATGCATGCAGTGACACCATTATTATGTGCAGTGACTTTCTTTATGATCCTAGGGAAATTCATACAGCACCCCTAGGAGAGTGACTGAAGGTTTTATTCTAGAGCTGTACTGAGTCATGCAGTTACTCAGTCACTTAGCAAATTGAAAAGGCGTGCTGGGGGGGGGGGGGAGGCATGCTAGGAGGAGTGCCTGTGTCTCTGGGGTCCTGAGCCTGGTGGGTTTATGGTCTAGTCACAGCCAACCACATGACTGCAAATAGTTTTTTACCTAACATAGTGCTTGCAGAACCCTTCTGCCTGTCAAGATAAAGCTGTTGGTTTTTCCCAGAGGGGTCAGGGATGTGGGACACTGTCAGGGGTGGAGAAGGCCAGGCCTGTGATGCCGTTGGTATTTATAAAACAGTACAATGGGCCTCTCCCCACTCAGCCTAGCAACCCCACAGCTGTCATTAGCAACGGTAAACAAATCCTCCCCCTGAATGACAGCTGGGAAGGAAGTGAGACCTTTAAACCTGGGCGGAGGAGGACGCTGGAGGGGATAAGTGGGCCGAGGAGAGGACCCTTCTTGCCTCTTCTCAAGATTCAGGTTCATTCTGAAGAGATCTG